TGTGTCTCCCTCTTTCTCTCTCTCTCTCTCTTCTCTCTGTCTCTGTCTCTGTCTCTGTCTCTGTCTCTGTCTCTGTCTGTCTGTCCCTCTCTCACTCTCTTCTCTCTCCGTGCACCCTCAGGACCTTCGCCAAGAGCTCGGGCGGCTGCGCAGCAACAACAACAGCGGCAGCGATGCGGGGAGCGGGGCAACCACCACCCGAACCCCTCCCGAGATGGCCCTCCGTAGACAGGTCTCATCCCTCTCAGACGCGACACTTTGCGCCGGCGGCCCTGACGCCAACGAAGACACCGCCACTATGATAGATGGCGACGAATTGCTCTTGTCGGTGGACGCCAGGCTAGAGACGGGTGCGGGTCTGGATGACGGGGCTGGGATCGCGGATGAACTCATCAAGGCGAGATACACGACCCGTTAGTTTCCGTCTCCCTGCCACTCACGGTGACTTAAGTAGGATTGCGGGTTCATTCGACCACGCCACTACTTGTTTGCTTCTCATGGTGTATACGCTCATGGTTGTGGGCCATATGGAAGTTGTTCATCGGAACCCAGGCTCAACATTTATGACATGATATCATTTGTTTTGGTTTGTTTTGTTCTCCTTGCGTAGTGACTCCTGAAACCACTTTTTTGTTTATTTGTATCTGCGGAATGTTCACCGCGCCCACCAACATCCCGGATTTCTTGGGCTATCTTGTGTTTTTTTTTTTCGTTGCCCGGTACCCACCCCACTGTCGTGCTTCACGGTGCGTCCGATCACCCAGGCGCTCGAGGAGGAGATCGAAGGCCTGAAGACGGAACTGTTGCACGCCGAATCAGCCAACGACGAGCTTAACGTCGAGCTGCAGCTGCTGCAAGAGATGGAGCTGGCGAGGTGAGACCGAAGGGCGCGCTCGGGTTTGGCGACGTTTTCGCGATTGTTCACGCCTCCAGCCAGTTGGTCGTGCCGACTCTCTTGAAAGTACCGGCGTTTTTCGTGCATTCCAGGCGTATGTACCGGCTGCACACGCTCCTGGGGTCTCTCGGCCACAAATCGCGCACCCCGGTTGACATGCGGGTCGACTTTGGTGACACACCAGAGTGTACTGTAGGCCCTCAAAGAGAGAGCGGAGGCCCCGAAGGGTCTTGTGTGCGCCGTTGATTTTGCGAGGGAACCTGCCATTGCTAACCCGCCACACCGCCCCGCTTGGAGACATGCTCTGTCTCGGCTCTGGCACTGTCACCAACCCTACACGCATTCGTTTGACGTCGTGTCCTTGGTCAGGAGAACCGGCGGCACCGGGGAGTCCGCGGCTGGCGCTTCGTTGAACGAGGAGGGAGTGAGGGGTTCGAACGGAGGGGGCGAACGGACGGAGTCTCCACGAACGCTTGCGGAGCAGGTGAGGGCGCAGATACCAACTCGAGAGAATGAACGCAAAACTTATTGTTTGTCTTTCGGATCGACGTGCGTGACATCGTTTAAGGGAACAGGGTGTACGCGAGATCTGTTCTTCACGACCACCCCGGTAATCGAACAACGATGCATTTTCAGTTCTTTGCTGTCGTAACACGCTTATCGTCGTTTTTTCCATCATCGACGACGAGCTAATATTTTTCTGCCGAATTTTGGATTGGACGACAAGGTAGAAATGTTCGAGTCGTGATTCAGGGGGATGGTAGATAATAGCTGCGCCGGGTGAGGTCGGTTATTGCCGCGGTTTTGGCTAGCAGCTCGCCGCGGGCTGTCTGCCACCCGACCGAAAAAGCAAGCGTTCACCCGCGGAGAAGCTCCAGTTTCGTGGGGCAGAAGCGCCTTTCTTCGCCGAAAAGAAGGGGCTGAGCTCAACACTCCCACAGCAGTGTGATTGGGGTGGTTAGGAGCACGACCGAGCTTTCGCATGTGCAACGCTGTAGCGGGGTCGTCTCGCCTGTGCCATTTCCTTATGTGAAGTTCTCGGGCCTCTATAGTCAGCTGGATGTTAGCAGGGAAGTGCACGACTCCTGTGAAAAATATCGTGCTCTAGTTAGGTTGTTGGTGCTCGTGTCTGCCTCAGCGTGATGATGGTGGGAAATTTCATGGCTCCTCTGATAACACACTTCGTTCCAATGTTTTTTTTCTTCGTTGTACTGGCTGGCTCCCCCTTTTTGTTTCGGGCAGGCCGCCCTGAAGCAAGACCTGGCGGATGCCATGGCGACATGCGAGGAGCTGGATCAGACTGTCACAGACCTGACAGACGACCTACACGCCAAGGTGTGCATGCATTGACCCCGCGTTTGTCGGCTGGTGTTGCCGGCCTATCACCGCCGGGATGATGGATGGCGTTGGGGTCACCGTGTCGCTCCTTGCAGGCGCACGCCCCCGCTGTGGGAGGGGGCAGTTGACCCTTGGTTCTTGGGAGCACGAGCCTGTACCAATTTCCCACGAATCGAGTGTCCAACAGGCAAAGAAGGAGCACCCCCCTGCCATTGGAGCATTCGCCCTATTTAGTTACTCTGCCTCGTCGTCCGCTGAGCGTGACCCCCCTCCCCCTTCTTCTCCGCATGTTTGGAATGCCTTTTGTGTGTCAGGACCAACAACGGCGTTTCTTGGAGACCCTTGTCTCCGTATGTTTCTGTTGTTTTGTGTGTCAGGACCAGTAACGGCACCTACGGTGCACCCTATTCTCCGGATGTTTGTATTGCGTTTCTTTTGTGTCAGGACCAACAACGACACGTATTGGAAACCCGGTTGGCCGAGCTAGAGGCGGAGCTTGGCAGCAAGACACAGTCGCTCGAGGACCAGGTACACGCCATCCACGTCCGGCTGCTATTTAGTCTGGCGTACTGCAGGAGTCGTTCCTCCTTTCCAATGGACCTCCTTCGCGAGGATATTGAGCGTGCTGTGTGACATAGAGAGGGGGGTTTCGTAACTCTAGCCCTACCCCCCAACCCACACCCGTAACCCAAGCTTGCATGCGTCATTAACGCGGAAGGCGTCTTCAGACCCCCCCTTCCCTGCCTATTTTTGTGATCACGGGGCAACATGATTCTGGAAAACTAACGTCCTTAATGCGCGGGGAATTAGTTGGCTTAACGCGAGCCTCTTCAACCGGGGGATACTGTAGCCCTAGCTGTTGGTGGCCACCGGCAGGACGCGGTACCCCAGGGAGTGGAACCTTCCTGGAGGGTTCGCCCTCGTGTTTCAGTTCAGTCTTGTTGCTGTTGAGGAACCCCTCTCCACTCTCTGGTCTCGCCTCGCGTGTTGTTGCTCTTGTTGGTTCAGGTGTTGGAGGCCAAGACGAACGCGTCGTCGCTCACGGCTAAGCTGGCGGACACGACGGCGGAGCTGCGCGCCTCCAACAGCCGCGTCGAGGACGTGACGGCTAAGGTTTGATGGCTGGTGGCTGTGATGGCGATTGCAAGAATGCACCTCACGAGTGCAGCATGCGATCTTTTTTGAAAGATATGTCATCTGTGGCCGCGTTAGTTGCCCTTCGACGGGGCAATTAGTATGTCCGCCTTAGCTCACGCCGCCCCCCCCCATCTCTCTCTCTCTGTCTCTCTCTCTGTCTCTCTGTCTCTCTGTTTCTCTCTGTCTCTCCCTCTCTCCCTCCCGCTCTGTGTGTGTGTCACTCTTTCTCTCTGTCTCTCTGTTTCTCTCTGTCTCTCCCTCTCTCCCTCCCGCTCTGTGTGTGTGTCACTCTTTCTCTCTGTCTCTCTGTTTCTCTCTGTCTCTCCCTCTCTCCCTCCCGCTCTCTGTGTGTGTCTCTCTCTCTTTCTCTCTCTCCCTCTCTCTGTTTCTCTCTGTCTCTCCCTCTCTCCCTCCCGCTCTCTGTGTGTGTCTCTCTCTCTTTCTCTCTCTCCCTCTCTCTGTTTCTCTCTGTCTCTCCCTCTCTCCCTCCCGCTCTCTGTGTGTGTCTCTCTCTCTTTGTCTCTCTCTCTCTGTCTCTCTCTCTCTCTGCCGCCCTCCCTCCCGCTCTCTGTGTGTGTCTCTCTCTCTCTTTCTCTCTTTCTCTCTCGCTGTCTCTCTGTCTCTCTGTGTCTCTCCCCCCATCGTTCCTTGACCCGGTGCTACAGAGCAAGGCGATACAGGAGCGCGAGGAAAACCTTCAAGAAGAGGTGGGATAGCGTCGACGCTGGCTCGCGAGCGGTGGTTTGGTACGACTTCCTTGATTCTGTTTGACAGCGTGATGGTACCGTCAGGTTGTCGACAAACTAGGGCTGTGCAAATGGACAAAATCCCTGTGCTGTCATAGGATGTCTTTCTCCCGTGTGATCTGGGCTGATATGTCAAGTGCCACACCAAAAGGTAGGGTGTGTAGACTGGTACCAGAACCCATGGGACGGAAACACGCACACCCTCATGTATGCGTGGTTGCAATTGCTCAACAAATGCCCCAACGAGTGTGCCGAAACTCACTTGTTCTTGGCTAGTGACCGGTAAATCCGGCGGTGCGTACGAAAGACTGCTGTTGCGTTCCCTTTTCTTTCCTCTCTTCCCTTACGCCCGTCAATATGCCGCCTGTCTCTCTTTGTATCTCGGGGTGTCTCCCCTCTTCCTCAATAGATGCGCGTTGATGTATCTCGTAATATCCCTTGTGCCTTTATCTAGAGAATGTTGATACAATTCACAGAATACAATCCGTTCGAAAAATACTCCCCACTCGAGGGGGGTGTTGATTGAAGTAATCACAGTGAACCAGTGTGTGGGAAAAAACCCTCTGGGTGCTGGGTTCATTCTTGAAAACATCGTTTCAATCACCGAAAACCCCGCCCGTTGGAGGAACATTGATGCTGGAATCGAAGGGATACGTTGAATGAATCCTTCACGGCAGTGAGTGTGGAGAAGCACCCGCTGGGTGCTGGACTCATTTTCATGTCCGTTTAAGCCTCATCTGCTCATGGCTTGTGTTCGAGTCCGTTTAATCCATTCTGCTCATGCTGGGGTTATTTGGAAGTCAAATCAAGCCACAGATAGTCGAAGGGATGTGTTGAAATATGTATTTACCGCATTGAGTGTGGAGAACAACCCTCTGGATGCTGAACTTATTCTCGAGTCCGTTTACACCTAGATCCTCACGCTGGGCTTATGTTCGAGTCCGTCTAAGCCTATATTTACGCTCGTGCTTGTCTCCCGCGTGCTGCCGCAGGCGGCCTCCTTGCGAGAGCAGCTCTCCGAGCTCACCTCCACGGTCTCCGACATCTCCGACCAGCTGCGAGAACGCGAGGCCCAGCTGGAAGAGGCCCAGGCCACGGCGGAGGAGCTCCAAGCGGAGCTCTCGGGCCTCCAGAAGAGCGTGGAAACTCTTTCGGCGAAGCTAGCGGAGGACGGGGCCGCCAGAAAGCTGGCGGAAACGACCGCCGCGGAGAGGGAGGAGCGCCTGCGCAGGGAGCTGCAGGAGGCGAAGGATAACGCGGCGGCGGCGAAGGCGAAGGCGGCGGCGGCCGCTGCGGCGGCGAACAGCGGGCCCTTGGAATCGCCCTCCCGCGGCCAGGACCCTGAGTTGACGGTGGTGGTCAGGTCAGACGGCGGCAAGACGTTGGAAGCGGCTGGCGGAAGGAGCCAGAGAGAAGGGCAGAGCAGCGGAGAGCCCGCCGCCGGCCGAGGGAATGGTAACAATGCCTCCGGCACCGCCAACGCCGGGGACAGGGAAGCCGCGGTTAGCTTCGCCGCGACGGGCGAAAAGGAGGAGGATGAAGCGGGCCGAGCTAGCGGGAGCGAGCGAGAGCTGCAAGAACAGGTTGCGCGCCTGAAGGTTGCCCTCGAGGAAGCTCAGAGGCGGGGCGGGGGCGGGGGCCCCGCGGCTGGTATCGACGGGAAGGAGTCGGCGGTGTCCTCGGCGCTGGAGAGCGGCGACGTTGACGGTGGGTTTTCGGTTGCTGCTGCTGCTGCTGCTGCTGCTGCTGCTGCTGCTGCTGCTGCTGGGTTGTGTGGCCTTCACGCGTTGCCTTGTGTCTCGTGGTCCACGCTGGCTGTGACCTGCTCTAGTCTAGCCCAGACCCACGCGTGGAAGAACAATCTCTCGGGATCCAACCGGGAAGGCGTGTCGCGGAATAGCGTCCAAACTGACGGGAGAGCGCTCCTCGCAATCCTCGCTTTTACGTATTTGCCGTTTTTTATTTTTGTGCCTCATTCCCTTTCGGACCCATTTCAGCCCTGAAGACGGAGCTGCGCAACGTGACGCAGCTGTACAGCAAAGAGAGAGGCATGAACGCCTCCCTTCTCTCCAAGATTAGAGCTCTGCGGGGCAACATCGAGGTACGAACCGAGGAATGCAATACACTCGTACTGTGCATAGGCGTTGTCGGCATTGGTTGTTCTCCTCTTGTTGACAAACTCGACCTAGTTTACCGCTTCGTTCTTAAGGCGGGTGCTGCAAGAGCGGCTTGGAACCTGTGTCGGTTGTTGAAACTGTAGGTGCATTGTGATCTCGGGCTAATTCAAGCATTACCCCGTCGCCCGGATTATTCAGTATTCAGTAGGTAGCTTGGGCAACACTGCTTCGGCGTTTGGATGCGATTCTCCGAATCTTCGCACAGTCACACGCTCTCGGAAGTGTTAACATCTTGCGCCCAAACAAGTGGAGAGAATGATCAGTTCGTGGGTAAACGCGAATCGATTGTACGGTTGACGAGGGTAGGGGACGACCCAGCCCTTCTCGTGATGTAACGACAAACCAAGCACCGCTAGAGCAAAGATAAAGGAGAAAGAAATGCTTTAGCTTGACCTCGACTGGCGCGCCCAAAACATGCCGAACGGCATGATTGCCCGACATCCGGAACACACTCGCGGTGGATGCTAAGAGTACACTTCTAGCTAGACACACACGAGCGCACCCTGCCGAGGGAACCCATGAAGGCCGTGATTGCGGTTAGTTGTCCGGCTATCAGATTGCCTTGATTGGTGAGCCAGCCGATTAGCGCCTGTCGATGCTAACGAAAGACACACACGCGCGCGCGCAAAATCGTATCGTCCCTGGGCAGGTGATATGCCGCATCCGTCCACCGACGGCTGATGAAACAGCTTCCGGCGTTCCCATGGCCTTGGAGGCCTTGGGAGAAGGGGAGATCGGGGTTAAGACGTCCAGCCGTCACGGTGGGGGGGGTGGGGCATCGTCTTGGAGGTCTTTTGCGCTCGACAAAGCGCTTGGGCCGTCCACGACCCAAGAGGAAGTGTTCCGACAGGTGATAGCTAGCCTCCTCTCGAAGGCGCGGGGGGCGGTTTCAACCCACGTGGATGGCGTTTTGTACCTGCATGGAAGGCGTTAATGCCCACATGGATACAGAGTTTTTTTCCCGCATTGATGGCGTTATTACCCACATGGATATATAGCGCTTTCGCCCGCGTGGATGGCATCTATCCACATGGAACGGCGTTGAGACCCTCATGGATGGACGGTGGTTGTGGTCATTACCCACATGAAGCGGTGATACACCCAAGGTTGGCGTTGATACCCACATGGTTGACATATACCCACATGGATGGCCTTATGTACCCGCACGGATGCCGTTATTACCCATATGGATGGGTTTTCACCCGCATGCAGTGGCTGCCTCTGCCGCGATCGATGGATGTTTCCCGCGACAAGGTAGATTGATAGCCTACAAACATTGCTTTGCGGGTGCTGTTCCATGGTTGGGTGCTCGGCAGGTGGAGCCGCTTGCGCTGTCTGCAGCGGACGGCATGAACGCGTGCATCTTCGCCTACGGCCAGACGGGTTCAGGCAAGACACACACCATGATCGGAGACGCAAAGGGGGGCGAGATGGCCGGCATCAGCTACCGCACCATGAACAAGCTCTTCCAAGTCCTGGAGCTGAGGCAACGCCAGCAGGTGTGCTCGCGTTTTTGCGTTCACGGGATGGGAACGTGGTGGTTCATGCCTGGTGGAAGCTGCTTGGGCGTACTCTTTCTTCTTGCGGGTTCGTCTGTTGCGATTGGGGTCCCTCTTTGTTTGCGTGAAATTGTCTCGATTTTTAGGTAGATTTTTGCTGGGCAGTCCTTACGTTGACCTCTACTCTAGTAATAGCCTGAGTTTGCGTCGTCTCCGTATGTCCGGATGCCAGTTTTTGCACCCCTTGGTGCATTTTTCGGGGCACATCAGCCAAGGTGATGCGGGAGGAAGGCCACATGGCATCCAGTTGGGTATCATGCATTTGTCATCTCACATCCACTGCATACAAGTTCGATCGGAACAAAAATTCTTGACCCCGCTCCAAATCAATGTCTTCTCCTGTCTGTCTGTCTGCCTGTCTGTCTGTCGGTCTGTCTGCCTGTCTCTTTCACCCTCTCTCTCTCCCCCCTCCTCTCTCTTCCCCCCTCTCTCTTTCTCGCTGTCTCTCCCTCTCCGTCTCTCCCTCCCTCCCTCCCTCTCCCTCTCCCTGCCTCCCACCCCCGGACCCGTGCGCGCGTGCACACCAACAGCCCGACTACGTCTTCACAGTCAAGGTTGCCATGCTTGAGATCTACAACGAAGACGTGCGAGATCTACTATCGGACCCGCTGCCGTCGGGAAGTGGCGGTGTCGGCGGCGGCGGCAGCAGCAGCACCGGTGGGGATGGGGCGGTGGACGGGAGCAAGCTGGAAATCAGGCGTGACCAGGATGGCATGGTCCAGGTATGGCCAGTGGCACGGCTGCTCATGCCCCTCATTTTTTTTCGCTGGGGGTGTACTCATAGTCGCGCATGCCGTAGTCGTTCGACCATTAACCTCGCATTCCTACAAAGCCGGGTTGGAGCACGCCGGGTTCTCCCCCGGACCAGGCTCTCACATCACCAAGGGCGAAGCGTAGAGAGCGGGGGGGGTGGTGCTGGTGGTTGCACGTAAGGGTGCGGTTGATTGGGGATTGATTCACAGACAACTGTTGGTTAGAGCGTTTTCCAAACGGGTGCGGACGTGGTTGTCTTTGGTGCTCGTTACCGTGACCGTAGCGTGGCGTCATTCGCCAGAGAGGAACGGGTGGCAAAGTATTCACCAGGTACATGCTAAGCATGGGTTGCACGTGTGGAGCATCGCCCGTGTACCCACACCAGTGATCGGGCCCGTGTCCAAGTCTTAATCTTTACGAGCAGTCACTTGGCCCCCGAAAAGCTTCAAACGTGTAGATGGTTGATGATTTGATGTCGGCTGCAACAAATCGCAAAAAGTCAAACCTGTATCCGCTGAATGATCTGTCAATCGGCTGCAAAAAATCCCAAGCAACAGGTTAACCGGCGTAGACCACGACCACCGCTCTCGCCCCGCCCCGTTCGTGGTGTCTGAATCCCCGCTCTCGCCCCCGCTTCCCCGCCTTCGTGAACGACCGTCGATCATGATCCCCGACAGGTACCGGGGCTGACCCAGGTGGAAGTTACTAGCGCCAAGGAGGTGTTGACATTGCTCGAGCGAGGCGGCGGCGCGAGGGCCGTCGCCGCCACGGGTGTCCACGACGACTCTAGCCGGAGTCACAGCGTGCTGCTGGCGGAGGTGGCGTGCAGGGCGGGCCCTGATGCGTTGCCGGCTACGGGGAGGCTTTTCTTAGGTGAGACTTGCGGGCGGAGAGGGTTTGTAGAGAGCAACAGGGATATTTTCGTTAGTTTGAGGTCCTACCATTTCACCATTACAAATCAAGGGGTTTTGAACGGCGAATTTTGTCAAAAGAATACGTTTTAGAATTTGGAGGAAAGGTTCATCGCTAGAAAGATGCAGGGAAGATTTTCTTAGGTGGGGCTTGTAGGAGGAAGGAGTGCGTTTCGGGAGGAAGGGTACATATGAAGAGGGTTGCGGGGGGGCTTTTCATTCGGTTGGGCTTATAGGGAGGAAGCAGGGGCTTATAGGGAGGAGTGGAAGAGTTTACAGGGAGGCTTTTCTTACGTGAGGCTTGTAGGCGGCGGGGTATGTTTAGGGAGGAAAGGTGCCTGTGCATAGAGTTTCGGAGAAGGTTGTCTTAGGTGGGAACTTTTATTTGGACCAACAAAACAGCTCACAGCTGCCCTTGTGAACCTGCTTTCTTAAAATTGTGGATCGAAGAGCCTCAGCTGACCCCCCAGGTGCGGCTTCCCCCAGGTGTACGGGTGGAGGCCGAGCCACGAACCCCCCATGGAGGCTATAGGTGTAAAGATGAAGTTTGTGTTATTGTTGAGGAGTGAATGGACGCCCGTGCCTTTGCAGAGAGTCCCAGGGAGGCAGCGTTTGGGTCGGGGTTAGGAGGTAGCGGGTGTGATTGCAGAGGTGCGCTCCGGAGCGGGCCCGTGGGAGCACGGCAGCATCATGAAGGTGTGTTGCAAGACGAACGAGAAGGGCTGCTAGCTGCCAGCGGCGACGTGTTCCAAGCTCGAACGGCCCACCAGAACAAGCTGACTTGCGTTTCTGACTCGAAGAGCCCAGCGAACCACATAGGCCAAAAAGTGTTCTTCCAGGGCCGTGTAGAAGCACAAGTGTACAGGACTTTGGATAGTCGTGGATGGTATGCGGCGGTCACTGATGGCGGCATTGGCCTGGCTGTTGAAGCCAAGGTGATGGCAGCGGTGTGATTTTGTGTCACCTGACGCGGTTGGCGTCCATTGTGGGTTGGCGGCGACGTTGCGAGAACAGGGCACCGGGTCAACACCCGCGATGCGCGGTTGAAGACACCACGATGGTCCTGCGGTTTGACGACCCTGTCGGTTTCATAAATGATTTTGTTCACAATCGTATTATGTTTCGTCATGACTCCGCCCAACATTGTTGGTCAAGCCCCTTCCGGCGTAGTCTGGTTTAATTTCATATATATATATATATATTTTTTTAAATGCTTTCGAAAGACTTCGTTGACTGCCCAGGGAGAGGGCACGCAGATCCTACCCCTAACCCCAACCCCAACTAGCCGATTGTATTATTTTTCGAGTATGTTTGATTGCTTAGAATGCCTTCGTAGAGTACTGGAATTCGTACCAGTATTCATTAATTGGTATAGTTCATTTATTTTTTCTCTGTTGTTAGCGATTCGTTCATTTTTTAATATTTTCATTGATGCTTTCATCCATTTATTCATCGACGACCTTTGTTTTGTTTTTCAGTCGACCTTGCCGGCAGCGAGCGGATCAAAGTGTCTGGCGTGACAGGAGTTGGCCTGCGAGAGGCAACCAACATCAACTCGAGCCTCAGCGCGCTTGGCGACGTGATGCAGGCCCTGGACCAGAAGCAGAAGCACGTGCCCTATAGGAACTCCAAGCTAACCTTCTTGCTGCAGGTGCGGTGTCGAGTGTTACGGCAACCTTGTATACCTTTGGGAAGGATCAAGGGTGAATGTCG